GGTTTCAAAGCGAGGAATTAACGGGACTTGAACTCCCCCAAACCCTCACCTGAATAACGGCCTTCCCAGCTCTTTCTCCCTGAGGCCTCCCCTCAGTCGGACCACTTTGCATACTCCCTGCCCTTTCTGCAAATTTCTGGCCCTTCCTCTGAACTGGCCCCTCCTCTGCATGGTGACGCTGACCTCCTGTGCTGCTCATTTGGCCCTCAGCATCCCCTGGCCGGGCTCCCCTTCTCTGTCCACTCGGTGTTTCTCCAACTAGACCGGGCTACCTGCGGGTCACTGCCTTCCTCCGTCCCAGCGAGGCAAAGCCACAGCATCCCGCGGACTGCCAGGACTCTGTGAATACAAACTCCTTGAACTGGCTTGTCCCTTTGGAGCTGACGTCTCTCTTCCGGTGCCCTCTGTCACCTTGAACAGTCGGCCCAGAGAGTCCTTGCTGGGCCAGCCTCTCTGTCCCTATTGCCCGGGACTCCATTTCTAGAATAATACGATGAATTCCGTTCCTCTCCTAAGAGAATGCTGAGTTCCGGAATGGAGGAGGGGGAAGAGTTCTCTCTTGGCAAAGGAGGAACCTGCCCAGTCAGGAAGGCCAAGGGCCCATTGATCTGAGGCCAGTGAAAAAGTGGCTTCGCAGGAGCCCTGGATCCACGCCCACTTGCGGACAACTTCTTCTTTCAACTCTCCTGCCTGTGTTCTAACTTCACAGGCATGCCAGTTCCCGGCTGACCCTGAGAGACGGAGGTGACGGTGCCAGTGGTGGTGGTGGTGGTGGGGAGACCACAGCAGGGGTCAGGTGGAGTGTCGGAGTGGGGAGGGTGCCGTTTGAGGTTTCACCTACCAGAGACTTTGCTTTGGGGGGACCAAGGTGACACGGCAGGTCTGCAGACGTGGTCATGCGGACCTACCCCACCGGACTCGTGTGATAAGACAGTCATGCATATTAAAATATGGATGTCCACATGCGGCAAATTTCCACACAGACTTCTCACCCCTTTCCCTGGCCTTTTCTGCCTCTCTCTCTCTCTCAGACATGCACACACACACACAGATACTTAACCAATTAAGTCCGTCGAGCGCTATTTGCAGATGATGGTGTGGAATTGTGCTGGAGTTGTGTCCGGCCTCATTAAATGTCAGCATTAACAATACGGCACTTGGCAATCAAGGCTGCTCTGTGGCTGTTAGTCATTAATCACCATCTGACAGTCCTGAATTGGAAACGAGGAGCCCGTTCACATGTGCTCTGTGGACCTAGTTACCCTCTCGGTAATCAGTCTCGGAAAAGTTTGCTTTGACTCCCTGCCTGGAGGGCCTCTGTCCTGGCGAGGGGGCAGGGGGTCATTAGGCTTTGGTCCCCTCTCCTCCTCCTCCTCACTGGGAAAAGACGTTGAGGTCCTAAAAAAACAGGGGAGAGAGGAGCATATTGTTTTTGGCCTACTCTTTCCCACTTAGGCCTGCTTTATGTAGCCTTGTTTTTATATTCTGGCCCAATGGCCAGGAAAATTCTTTTTCTCCCTGAAGAAATCGTGAAAGACAGCAGGGAGCTCAGTTCTGTTCCAAGAGCTGGTGGAGTAAGTTTGTAAAATGTGTTCTTCCCGAGCTGCTCAGGTGTGGACCTCTGTCTGCTAGCTAGGGGGACTCGGCTAATTTCAGGGATGACTTCCAGCAACGTGAGCTTGAATTTCCACAGGTCTTCGGGGTCCCTTTGCAGAATGGAGAGGGAGAATGAACTTCTCTTTGGGGTCCATTCTCATCTCCTTTCTATAGCCTTATTCATTTGTTTAATGCAGAAATGTCTCTTGAGCGACTATTGTGCACCAGGCATGGACTGGACACTGTGAACACAGCAATGGCACAGGTCAAGGTCCCTGCCTCACAGTGGCGGCTCTCAGTGGGTGCGTGGTAAGGATTAGACAGAGAGTCTACATCATGGCCGATTGCTTTGAAAGGAAGTCCCCTGGGTCTTCATACTAGTGTGTGTGCTGCCCAGCTGCCAGCGTCTCCCGGGGGACACTAACCCCAGAGCTGTCTTTCCTGGGAAAACGTTCATGTTCCAGAGCTTGGCTGACCCGGCTCCTTCCCACCCCTCAACGGGCTCATGTCCCATTCCCTGCAGACCCTACCTCGTGCTGGCTGTTCCCAAACATGTTTGGTGAACACTGATGTATTAAGAGGGTTGTCCTCTCCCTCCACCCCTTTGACAGGCACATTTTAAGGGGTTTTTTTTTTTTTTGAAGGACTTTATTGTTGAACTCCAAAGAATGAGTTGAATGGGGGGATTTCAGCTGCCATAGCGGGCTAGTAGAGGAAGCAGGCCTCTGACTGCCCTAGGGTTTGCTGGCCGAGCTGACCTCCTCAGAGTGGCTGCCCATGCCCTTGGGACCACCCTTCCCATTCTGCGCATGGGGACACTGGCAAGAGAAGGAAAGGCTTCTGGTCACTGGGCCATTGGTGGAAGCTTACATCGTCTCTTTCCTGATGGCTCTGGCTTTGTCCCTTCTTTGAGTTTTACCCCTGGGGTCTCTTCTCTCACCCAACTAATGACTTCAGTTCAAAGGTGTTGACAAGTGTTTAAGCCCTTTCCCTATTTTCCAGTTACATGGAATTTGGCAAGCATTTTATTCATTGTCCCTCACGTGCCTGGAGCTGCCCTCGGCACGTGGGGGACACACAGATTAATAAGACACCCTTTTGCTTTAAAGCAACATATGGTCCAGTGGTAGGAGGGGGACAACGAGGGGTCCGCACACAGAGAAGGATTGTAAAGGAGGCAAAAGTATGTGGCTCGAGGGACTTGGAGCAGGGGAACCATGACTGGTTGGGGTGCACATGAGACTGGTGAGCTGTGCGGAGATACGCTTTTTAGGAAGAAGGAAGAACTCGATGCAAGAGCGTGGTGTCTGGGAAGCAGAGCTGTTGTGCTTGGTTCCTGGGAGGGTTCTGGTAGGGCCGGGTGGAAAGCTGTGTGGGGCCACTTTTGTGGGCGGCTCGAATGCCAGGTTGAAGGTTTGGTCTTCATTAGACAACGGGCACCAATGGGTTTCCAAGAGTAAGAAACACACTCTTCCAGTTTTCATGCAAAAGTTATCTTTCTGCAAGGGAGAAAGTTGAGTTTCTCTCAAGCTTCATAGTTGTAATTGTATATTGACTTGCATGATTATTAGTTTGGTTTCTGTCTCTATCAGCAGCTCTAGGCAAGAGCTCTGGGAGCTGGACAACCTCAAGGCTCTGCCACAGGGCCTCTCTGCAGCCCCTGGAGAGAGGGGGTTCTGACTGCATCTCGCTGGTCCTCTGGCTCTCATTGGTCCCTGGGGCTGCTGTGCCACGGCAGTTGTTGGAGCCCGGGGCTGAGGGATGGCTGGGTGGTCAGGGCTCCCACTCCATGCCCCTCGGCTCCCCTTCTCCTCCCGGAGGTCTTCTGGGCTCTTCCCAGACTGAGTCACTGAGTTACTGAGTTTTTGTCCTTCCCTGGAAGCATAGCTACAAGGAAAGCACTTTCCCGACAGGAGAATAAAGGCAGATGTTCAGGCGTGGATCTACCCAGCCGGAGACACGCTTCCATCTTCACCTGGCTAACTGCTGAGCCTTCAGGTCTCAGCTTCGAGGTCATCTCCCCAAGGAGGCTCTCCCGGACCTCAGTTTTAGATGAGGGTTCCTTGTTGCACGTTTTCTGTGTGCACTCTGCTTTTCCTTCACTGCTATTATCACATTTATAATTATACATGGACGTGTTTAGTTTTTTTCTTCCTTGTTAGTCTGTAAGCTCCAGGAAGGCAGGAACTGTGTGCCTCTTCACTCACTACTGTGTGCGCAGAGTCTAGCCCTGTGCCTGCCATGTGGCGGATGCTCAGTCGATGGTGCTGAATGAATGCACTGATGGTGCTGGGTCCATCTGGGGGCCGGATGATCTCAGAGCTGGTTGGGCATTTACCCAGTGGCCTGGGGGTAGATAAGCGATGGGATTTTTCCTCTCTCTGTTTCAGGAGGAAAGGGGGAGAAGAAAATGGGAAATGGCTTGGTATTCTTGGGGACTGTCCTCACGGCCTGGCCCATGGAATGTACTTACCTTGCTCCTCCGCCAGAGACCCTGGGTGATGGCGCTGGTCACAGGGACCCACCCAGCTTCTGCTCTGACAGAGTCTCCAGTCTGCAGACACTGGCTTGAAAAAGAAATCTATGGTTGTTCAAAAAACAAACAAACCAAAAAACCCCACAAAAACACAGTGTGTTCCTGACCCCAACTGCCCTCCACTGGCTGGTTCGTGAAAGATTCAGAGTTCATGAGCCCCAAAGAATTTTTGGGTGCCATTCTTTCCCCTGCAGCATGGATAAGCTGTAATCGGCTGCAGAAAATGAGGAAGCAGAAGAGGGAGGGAAGCAGGCACAGAGCAGGTTGGTGTGAGGAAAGCAGCAGAAGAGAAAAGTTGGTGCTGGGGCGGATGGGGCAACGCACTCACCTCCCTTCTCCCTGTTCCGGGGCTTCCCCGCGGCCGAGGGGGCTGGCGGGCGTGAGTGCTGTAGGGAGCAGACAGATGGGCAAGGTCCTCAAGGCGGGAGGGAGGGAGGAGCCTCTTTATCACACTAGTACCACCCCAGGGGCTTTTGGGATTGTAGGGGTTACTTTTGGTTGTCTCCATATTGAAAGCGAGGCGGGGGGACACTGCAAACAAGTAGTGTCTGGAGACCAAGGATGTTAAACCTTTTACCCTGCACAGAAGGGTCTGCCCAGTAAAGAACTGTCTTGCTCCAAACAGCAATAGCGTCCCCTCTGAGAGACACTGGGAGGCAAGAGAAAAACAAGGACTTGGATGCTTTATCTCTTTGGGGCTGTAGACACCCCATGGTTTCTGTCCCCAGGCCCCTGAGATCCACGGAGAAAAGGCAGAGGGGCCCATCTCCCACCACTGGGGTGTGGGCCATGGCACTCAAGGGGAGCTTGGGTCCCTGTCCTCGTCAGCCTCCTCTCAGCCCGCCCTCTGCACCCCTCAAACCTGCAGGCTCTGCTCGCTGAAGCCAGGCCTCACTCAGCTGTGGCGGGTAACGGTTTCCATATGCTGGGCTGCTCCTGCTTCAGGCACCCGGAGAGGAGCGGGGGCGACGCATGGACAGAGGTGGCTGTGAGCAGAGGTGAGGGGTGGCGAGGCGGGGAGGGGTGTCCGAGGGCTGGTGGGAAAGGTTTTTTTTGTGGGGTGTTGCTGCGAGGGGGAAGTGTTGGGGGGAAGTCAACGGCAACACGTTCTAGCCTGTTGGGAGGACGGCTGTTGGCACCAGGAGAAATCCATCCAGCGGAGCCAACCCTCATTAATCATCCGGGCAGCTGAACTGCCAGCTCCTTTCAAGATCTTTCAAGAAGGGTTTTCACCCAAAATAGAGTTGAAAATGTGCTGGGCCCTACTCAGAATCTCATCAGTCTGGGCATTATGGGAAGTGTCAGGCAGGCTGTGACAGACAAGGCCCACTCTGTTCAAGGGGTCCTGACTCCCACAGCCTGTCATATCAAGCGTCTGATCAAATTTGACAGCTTCATTTGTACCTACAGAATAGATAAAAGGGCTGTTCATTGAAACAAATGGAGGGGAAGGGGTGGGGGAGGGAAGGGAGGTGAGGGTGAGAGGGAGAGAATGTGTGTGTGAGTGTCGGGGGAGGAATGGCGTCGGGGGAGGGCCGGAGGGGAGGGCGATGGTTAGGAGCAAGGGGTGCAAGGAAGGATGCTCTCTAAGAACGTTTTCCTCCCCCAACACTCCCAGAGAAGGGAGCAGGTCGGGGAGGCAGGTGGACGTGAAGAAGGGATGGGCGCGAAGGCCCCACCCGTCAGTGTCAGCACCAGGAGGCTCCGGAGCCTCTGGCTGTGCTCCGGGCCCCGGGGCTGTACCTGGAGCCAGGAAGGTGGGCCCTGGGAGCAGGAAAGCCCGGGGCGGGTGGCCATGAGCTGCACCAGCAAGTGGGACACATATTTCGGTCCCAAACCCTGAGCTGAATTTTGTGAAGAGCCTTCCTTCCTGTTGCTGCAGCCCCTTCGTGGTGCTCACCTGTGCTGGGTCTGTACTGAGGCTGTTGGCCTCCTTTGACCAGGCTGCTGGGTGGCTGCACCTCTGCGGGGCGACCCGAAGCACTGGCTCCCTTAAGTTATACTTGCGGGTGCCTCTGAGCTTCCTGCAGATGGCAGCTGGTTGGCGTGAGCTGGAGGGGTGTCCCCCAGCACACCTTGCACCGTCTTGCTTTGGGGTTCACTCTGGCTGCCCCACTGGCCTCTAAGACCTGTTCTTCGTCACTTGGGGCAAAGTGAACACGTGAACAAGCTCCCAGATGCTCTCAACACTTCTTATAGGTCCCCTTCCTTTGTTAATGTCATCCTTTATTTCCCATTATTAGCATGTGTTTGTACTATTTTCCCCATGAGATTGTATGCAGTTTGATGTGAAAGTCATGTCTGATGCATCTTCTACCTTCTGACAGCATTTAGCACACAGAGCAGGTTCTCAAGCAATATTTCCACAAGTACATGTATGCTCAAGGCTCAGCTGTGACCAGCAGGAAATGAGACTAGGGTTGGAGGACTGAAGCTCCCTTCCTGACCAATGGTCTTTGGAGGAAAGGGTCAGAGGTTAACAAGGCTCCACCTATCCTGCCCCCACCTATCTGGAGCCTTTGGGAGGTTGAGAGTAAGGCCCCTTTCCAGGTGGATTCAGCCCAGGCCAGGGGCTCAGGTGGCTGTGGCACCCGCGCTTCTTCCCGTGGCCAGATGCCCCATGTGGGGCATCACTGTGCAACACTGCATGGTGGCTCTGGTGGCAGGACTGTGAGTTTTTGGAATTAGCTAGACTTGGTAGGGATCTTGCCTTTACTGCTTACTGGCTTTGTGACCTTGGGAAAAATGTGTTTAATAACAGACTCATCGAGGAAAATTGCTGCCGGGGTTAAATGAATCTTACTGCTTTGCACAGTGCCTGGCATACAGCAAGTGCTCAGTAAATGCCAGAGAGAAGGGAAAAGGCCATGTCTGGTCCCTGTTGCCTGGACCGTTTTCATTTAAGTTGATGCCGCGTACTGTCAACGGCACTTGTTTGGCAGTGATCCCTGATCATTATCACTTTGAATCAGTGCTTAGCTTTTTGTAAATTTCACAGATGAAAGTATTGCTAGAGCCCAATCCATCTAAAGTCCCTGCCCCTCTTGTGAGGAGGGCTTGTTGATATGCTGCCCTCATGCTCGAACAGGTGGTTCTTCGCCAGCTGCCTGGTGAAGAGCTCAGGAGCACAAGGTGTGCAGAAGTCCCAGATCTCTTTGAGCTTCAGGACCCGGAGCCCGGAGAGGTCTGTCCTAACCATACAGAGGCCAGACTTGTCTGGCTGCAGGGGTGTCCAACCCGTGGCCTTGGGACTGCATGCAGCCCAGGACGGCTATGAATGCAGCCCAACACAGAATTATAAACTTACAACTTTTTTTGCTCATCAGTTTTAGTGTTTGTGTATTTAACGTGTGGCCCAAGACAACTCTTCTTCCTCCAGTGTGGCCCAGAGACGCCAAGGGGTTGGACGCCCTGAGCATTCTGTTCCCAGAGGCACCTGGTTCCTGTGATTTCAAATGTAAACTTTCTCCAGGTAAGCAGGGCTCGGGGGCTGGGAGGGACTGGAAGGAGCTTCTGTTTGGGAAGGCCTGAGGAAGCAGGGTGGAGGTGAGCTGGAGTGGGGGACAGGTGAGTTCTTCTCTGGGTCCTCCTTGACTCACGGCGTGGCCCTCGGCAGTCACTGTGTGCCTTCATCTCGTCACGAAGCCAGTTTCCCTCTGTGGGCAACGAACACGGGGCGGGAATGACGGGAGCTGCTCAGAGCACCCCGACAACACCCGCGGCAGACCCTCTGGCTCCCCACTCCTTCTGGGCAGGAGGGAGGGTCAACACCCCACCCTTGTAGTTAGGAAGGGGCCATGTGACCAGTTCTGGGCAGAGGATGATGAGCAGAGGTGACAGATGCCATTTTTGACCTGAAACATGTAATTATTCATGCAAGACCCTCCAGCTCTCCCCCTGCTGTGACCACTGAGGATATTTTTGGTCAGTCAGTGGGCCTGATCAATTACATGCAACACGGATGCTTTCTGATGTATCGCCTTGGTTGGACTGAGCTGCACAGTCCTCAGTTACTGCATCAAATACCGATGTAGGTGCTTCTGTGAAGAAACTTTGCCAATGTGTGGATCAAAAGGGAGATTAACTGGGGTGGGCCTGAGTTAATCAGGAAAGGTCCTTAAAACAGGGCTTGGAGTCAAGAACTCCAAATGGCTCACGCCAGTGAAGGTGCAGTTTGCTTGTGATATTCCCTTCCTGCCTGCCCACCCTGCAGACTTCCACTTGCTTGGCTAGCTACCACAACCACACAAGCCAATGCCTCGAGATAAGTGCCTTACTCTGTTACTGGTTCTTCTTCCCTGGTGAAACCCTTACTGATATAGGTATCCCTATCAATACACAATGGAGGTGTAGTATAAGTGAAGACAAGCCTTTGTTGTGTTAAACCCCTCAGATTTGTGGGTTAATTTGTTACACAGCATAATCTGGCCTATACTGACTATTACAAAAGCATTACCTGAGCTCTTTGTCCATGACACCTTAATTAGCTTACACATCTGCCTCCTACTAGGCTATAAGCTTGTTGAGGCAAGGACAACAGTCTTTCTCATCTTTTTAATCCCCAGAGTAGATCATAGTACCTAGTATACAGTGGGCATTCTGTAAAGTTTACTGAATGAGCCAAACCCATTGCACTGAGCAGCACCTCAGTTCCTGGAAGGGAAGGGCAAGGTCAATGTTTTTTGAAGTGCATGATGGCTAGCATGGTCCCAACACATGTAGGCACATTGATCAAAATGTTTTGATGGGAAAATTCTAATTCTCTTTCTGTAGCATCTAGACCCAACTAACTGCAAAGTCTGAAGCTACATGGCTTAGTGCAAAGAGTTTTATAGCCAGAACAGGGTTAGAAGCCTGGACCCACAGCTCTTTAACTGCGAGATCTTGGATGATTTACTTAACCTCTCCAGATTTCGTTTTGCTCACTAAAGGGAACTGGAAATTTGTTCTAGTGTAAAATGCCCAGCATGTTCACCTGCACCACGGCACACACAAAATAATGCTTTTTGAGCTGTCTTCGAGGGGGCTTTCCTATCATTTCTTATTTTTTAAAAATTATTTTTAATCCTCACCTGAGGATATGTTTATTTATTTTTAGAGAGAGAAGGAGGAGGAGGAAGCAGAGGAGGAGAAGAAGAAGGGAAACATAAATGTGAGAGAAACATTGATCAGTTGCCTCCAGTACGTGCCCTGACCAGGGATTGAACCCGCAACCTTTTGGTGTCCAGGACGATGCTCCAATCAGCTGAGCCACCCGCCCAGGACCTGGCCTATCATTTCAGTACAACTGACTGGTGGCACACGATTTGAAGTTGTCGAAGCAAGAAGAGCGGTCACACTATTTCCTTATGGACCGTGTACAAACTGTATATAACTGATGCACACACACTCACACCCATGCACACAGACGCTCTCACTCACAGGTACGCACACCCAGGAGAGCAAACAGGACACGCAGGAACGTGCAATGACATTTCCCCAATTACTGTTTCCATTTTAAAATCTGGCTCTCATTTAAACTCCAGAGGGATAATTTTATGTTCCGAGGGACGGTGGAGATACCCACTGCCCACTCAGAGCAAAGGTCCCCCACTGCGGCTCGGTTTTTGTCTGCGTTTCATTTCTTTGCTCGCCAGCCCTGTTTTCCAAAAGCAATTGGCTCTAGGCTACGAAAAATGGGATTCTTTTTGAAGACCTCGGTGGAACCTCACAGAAATCTCAACATTATTTTTAATAATAACGTGTGACCCATTTCAGCACCCACACAGTCTCTGAAATGCCGGAATCACCCTATATACAGCATTTCGTCAAATTAAAAATATTTTAATAATTCATTTTGTGGAGGCCAGTTCTCTGGGTGAAAAGTCCACAGTACATATTCTCCTTGTCTGTGCCCCGCCCGCTCTCCGTGGCTCAGGTGAAGTCCTGAGGTTTCTTTTTCTGGATCTCCCACACTGGCTATCCCGACAGGAACTTTAGAAAACTGGGTAAGGCCGGGGGCCAGTGACCGAAATTGTGACCAACTCTTACCGCCACAAGGCTTCACTACTTAAACATTTTATGAACTCATAGAACATCCCAGTTAGAAAGGAATTAAAGACGAAAGGGCCCAACAACTTCATCTTGGAAATGGGAAAAGAGACTCAGAGAGGTTTAGGGACGTGCCTAAGGTCGCGAAGCAGTTAAGTTTCAGAACCGGAACAAAACCCAGGTTTCCCAGTTCCCGTTGCAATGTCTTTCTACTGTGCGTCCAACGGCCAGACTTTCTGAACTTGCTACGATAGCCTAAAGTGCAACCATCGGCTGCATTTTGAAGTTTGTTTATAAAATATGGTCACTTCATTTTTCTCTCAGCCAGCAGGTTCAGCTTCTTTTTTCTTAAGAGACAGTTTCCCCGGTTCATCTGTGATCCAAATTCACTGACAGCGTTTCCTGTTTTAGGAAGTGTTAATGATGCTGGTGATACGCCACCACCCCGGGAGAACTTGGAAAGGCACTTCGCTGAGGAAGAAGTACAAACCACTTCCATGCCCGGAATGCTCTGTGGAAGGTGCGGCTGCCTGGGGAGGCAGGCGGAAGAAAATTCAGATGTGTTGTTTACAACGTTAGCAAAGCCTGTTCCTTGATCCGCTTTGGAAATGGAAATTACGGGCTCAGGGGCTCCAGCCCTCTCACCACTCTGCAATGACGGTCTTATCCATCTTTCCAGCCTAGGAGGAACCGGGGAGCCTCCCAACAGATTGGAACCCCCCAGGGGAAGGTCCCCAACAAACCCCCCCTCTCCAGCTCCTGCAGCTTGAACGCCTGATCTACACAATTAGCACCTTATAACACCCTGTCCTGTTCCCCACTGTCTGCACAGAAGGATTTAGCGCTTTATTAGATCAGCACATATGCAGTTATATGTAATGCTCTCCTGCTCCTGGCTCATGGATGATGTCTTGTCTCCCCCAAGAAACATGGGCAGGAGTTTGGTCTGCGTTTTCTTCTGTCTCATGGCATCCAGCACTGTGCTGAGCATGTAACAGGAGTTCTGTACATTCTATTTGCTGTGATGATCGACGGCCTGGACGTAGCATCCCAAATACTGGGGCTCTATTTCCAAGCTGCCATTTCTGTTTTGGCCATTAGATACATCATTTGTCAAAACAGAAACTGCACAAGTGGAAAGAAGTAGCTACCACTCTTGTGGTCTCTCCCCCACCCCCGCCACCTCTTTTTAAAAGTTGAAATCACCCACTGGGCTTAAACACTTTCCTGCAAAGCCCCTGACCTTGTTCCCACCCTGGGACCACGGGGTTGCTCCTCCGGTGTTCTGTTTTCACCCGGCCTTGCACCATCAGTCCCCTCCCCCGGCCCCCCCCCTCTGCTGGGTGCCTTTCCTGTACTTGGACTGAGTGGCTGACAGGTGGTTTGGGGGGACTGGAGGAGAAAATGTGGGCATGCTGAGTGTTACAATAGGGCAGGCTTTGTCCAGGCGCCGTGGTGCGTCTCCACTGACCTTGGAACTGAGTGACCGGGGACAACCCAGGGGAGGCAGTTTCCTTCCCTCTCTGGGCTGCAGGTTTTTAATGTCTTCTTTGTTGGTCTGGGGCCCTGGAGATTGAACTGAAGGGAGAGACTTTGGGCTGCTCCCTCCCTCCCGGACAGAATGGTGCATGCTTTTCCTGTTTAAACAGGGCACAGTTGTGAAGTGCCCTGACTTCGCACACACCGAGGCCCGGCAACGGCTGCAATAAATCAATAGGAAAATAGAAGCTGCCAGTTAGACTAAACAAGTGCATTTGCAAAGACGGCTAGCCCTCATTAATCACTCTGACAGTCCTAAAAACACATTTCCCCTTTAATGACTGTATTTGGATAATCAGTGCTTTTTCCTCCTCAGTCAGAGTTTGAGTAACAGACAGCTGGTGTTATTACAGCCATTGGGGAGGGAGTGCTGGGATTGGGGTCGAGAGCCGTCCACTGGAGGTCTCCGCGAAACGGGGCTGGCTGCAAAGCTGTTGTTATGCAATAATGAGGGGAAGCTTTGTACTGCCATTGATGGCTCCCGGGCAGCCATGTGCAAGTTCCCCCCAAACCTTGACACCCACCTGCATTATGTGAACACAAAAGCCTCATGTTGGGTTTTATGAGCCTTGGCAGATTTCGCGGGGCGGGGGAGGCAGGGGTTCCTCTGGCGGTGAGGTAAGAAGATGGGTCGATGTGCTTTGGCTTTGTTTCTTTTAGGTGACTTTGGCTTTCAGGAGAAAGTTTGAAACCCCGCACATTCCTCTTTATAAATGATGTAACACATTAATGCACAGCACATTATGAAAATGGTAATTCAAACCCATAGTGCTCCAAATTAAACCATACATTATCGGATGCACTCAACCATCTATTTCACAAAAAGACAGGATGAATGAAATCAAATCAAACAGAAAAGTGGAGTGCAGCTTCCCCTCCAGAATGATTAATAAAGCGCAGAGCCAAAGGACTATTTTAAGACAAATGCCACGGTAAACCAGACATACATCAGGAAGGAGTTAGTTCATGTACTGAGAGACATATCTCAGGATGCTGGGCAGGGTGAGGCAGTGAGGTCTGCCTAAAGATGGGGAAGACCCCCACAGCCCGCACTCTGGGCTACAGATTTCTCAGGAGGTGGGTTTGTGGGGGACGATCAGGAAATCAAAATTAACACCACACAATTCTGTTTGTGTCAAACCTATATCCGAGGGTGAGTCTTTCCCCTCTCTCTCTCCCTCCCTTCCTCCCACAGCTGCCCACGAAGCCACAAAAATAACCAGGCAAGAGGTGTGAAAATACGACCTGGAGCCAGGAACGTCCAGTGTCTCGAGTTCCAGCTCTGTGGCTTCCACCCTTCTTGGTGCCTTAGGAACACAGGCCCCGTTTCTGGCGCCTGGGAGAGATGAGGAGGAGGGAGGGGAGGAGGGTTAGGATGAGGAGAAGGCGGAGAAAAAGAAGGTGGAGGTGATTTTCAAAGAAAAGAGTTGCTGGATAAATTAATTATGCAAATTAAACAGTTGGTGGGGAGTATTATCTCGATTAAAACAGCAACTTTGTTTAATGAGAATTTAGCTACTGAAAGTAACAAACTTCCCACCAGCTAATTAAAAGAGCCACATTTGTTAGGAATGTCACCCATTTATGGTGGGAAGGGCTGACGTTTCAGGGTGAGAACTGGGACACTCCAGACTACAGTACCCACCTTTGTCGTCACAGTGGCAGCTGGGGGCAGACCTTCTGGTCTGAGGAGTGTCTAACCTGCATTCTCACACCCCACTGTAAGCCAAGCAGCCACAGAAAAGCCGCTGTTGCTACAGGGAGAGTTTGCTATTGGAGATGGTCTTCCTTTCTTTGGTCCCAATAAGAGGAGCCTGGTTGTCCTTAGGTAGGGAGGTCTGAAGACCGTGAGATTTGAGAAAAGTTCAAGTCCCCCTGCAGAGGGAGCAATTTCCAGCAGTTTCAGCAGGAATTTAAAAGGCACTGAAGGAAAGAGGGGAACTTGAGAGAAAGGGAAGATGGGAAACAAATGACCCATGGCAAAAGGAAAATGCAAGTCACTACGTTTCAGGTCTGCTAAAGATCCCGGCCAATCTGAACTCTGAGAAATCGGACAGTGATGGTTCCTCAGGAAGAGCCTGGGCAGGTCTCCGGGCGGCTTACTCAGCCTTTCTCTGACTCAGTCTCCCTGGTGCCCAGTGACGCAAGGAGCCCTGGTCCCTTCGCCAGAGACACGCTCAGGGTTTTAGGGTGGCCAGCACCCACAGGTGTTGGAGAAGCTTGACGTTTCTTGACTAATGAAGGAACACTGCCCAGAATCAAAGATATAGGTGCACCCCCCCTAAATCCCAAACCCCGCAGAAACATCGTGTGCCCAGGTTCTGTCAAGTACCGAGGGCACGACGTCCAGAGAGGCTCAGGCCCACGCTGCGATTCTCTAGCACCCCTCCCACCCCTTCTGCACTTGACCGCGGGTCTTCAGATGCTGGAAGCACACAAACTGCGGAGCACGAACTGCCCAACAGGTCCCATTCCTCACGAAAAGCAAAGCCAAACAACACAAGAGAACAGCAACAGCAGATCCCAACCCCGCGCGCGCGGCGCCGAGGCAGAAGAGCTCGGTCAGGAGGGGGCGGGGAAGGCCGTTTGGAAGGGCGGGGCGCCGGGGTCCGCGGCGAAAACCTGCGCGGGCGGGGGCGGGCCTCGGCAGGTGCGGGCGCGCCGCCCCGGGAGTCGGCCGGCCCCCGAGAGCACGCGGCTCGGGCCCCGCCCTGCCCCCGCCCCCGCCCGCAGGCTCCGGTCCTCTCTCCCGGCCTCGGGGACTCCCCTCCTGGTGGGAGGGTATCCAGTTCTCGTCCCGGCATCCTAATAAACGGTACCCCACCCTCTCCTGCCAGAGGATGAGAGGTCAGTGCCACCCGTGCGAGACGAAGGAAACGGGGACCCAGAGTGGCTTCGAGGCCCCGACCAATCGCCGCGCCTTCTCAGCAACACCCAAGCCCCGTTGATAAGTCTCTGGGAGCTCAGATGACTGGGGTGGACAAACCGGCGCTGACCTTGGGGAGCCTCCAAGCCTTGCGAAGCGTCCCTTTAAGCAGCTGCGATTACCCTTTGGTTTCAGGTTGAATACAAGCAATTTCAGGAAAGAGGAAATCCTCCGCATTTAGAGTGGGAAGCGCTTAAGGTGCCGTCGGGGATGGCGCCAGTCGCTGTCTGCCACCAGGTGGCGCCAGAGGCACGTCGTCTTTGCTCACCCTTACGACTCGGGGGCTGTGCTGCCAGGAGTCTGAGCCCCGGGACCTGGTTCCCTTCTCAAACCCCT